TGAAGCACCAAAAGTTCCACAGGAACTTAAGGAAAAATTTCTTAACAGTGAGGGTGACAGAGCACTGGAACAGGCTGCCCAGAGAGGTTGTGGAGTCTCCTTCTCTGGAGATCTTCAAAACCCGCTTGGATGCAGTCTTGCGCCACGTGCGTGTGCAGAGGGGTTGGACTAGATGACCTCTAGAGGTCCCTTCCAGCCTTAAGCGTTCCATGATTCTATCAAAACTCCTGGCCAGTAAGGCTGTACGTCACATAGCATGATAAAGGCAGCTGATCTGTCTAAAATTGTAATTGACTTGAAAAATAAGTTTTGGTGGCTTAAGTTTAAAAGAGCTAACATGTATGAGAAACTTGCATTCCTGTTACCTATCATCTCTTTCTTCCTCGCTATCATGTAAGTCATTTTACAGTTCTGGCAGCTTGAAAAGCCATACAGTTTCTCAGGTGGTGAATTGAAGCTACTTAATGCTGTTAATAAACTTGAAAGCCTGCAAGAGCTGCGGCTGTTCAGCCTGAAGAGGAGAAGACTGAAGTGAAATCTTACCAACACGTACAAGTATCTGAAGGGAGGACTACCATGGGATGGGGCCAGACTCTTCTCTGTGGTGCCCAGTAACAGGATGAGAGGTAATGAGCACAAACTGAAACACACGAAGTTCTGTCTGAACATAAGTAAAAACATCTTTACTCTGACAGTGACAGAGCACTAGAACAGAGTGTCCAGAGAGGTTGACTATCTATAAGGAAGGAGACTCCACAATCTACAATTCCTAGGTTATATAGATATTCAACTAACACAGTCCTGTACAGCTTCCTCTAGGTGACCCTGCTTGACCAGATGGCTTGGACTAGACCATCTTCAGAGGTCCCTTCCAACCTCAACCATTCTGTGATTAACTGAACGGCAACTGCTAAGCTATCACACCCCACAGGATTAGATATGAATGCTAAGGCCAAGAGTGACTATTTAAAACATACCTCTAAATTTTCAGTTGGAATGCAATGACAATAAATAGAATTATTTGGATAGATGTCAAGAAACAATGACATTTTCCTTCACAATATTTCTCAAATATAATAAAAAAAGAATCTAAAATCCATCAGTAACAGAGGAGGTTCTCCTTCTGGCCGCAACCCTTTGTTCAAAGAGATGGAATGAACCACACCAGAGGCTTCATGATTGTATTACAGCAGACACGTGGACAAGCTTGCCATGCATATATCCCAGTCAGGGGTAAATCTGGCTTTCAGCAACACGTGATCATATTTTCTGGGACACAGTTACAGAAAGCATATACACTGAGGCTTTAACACATCCTGAGTCTGTGTAAGTGCAAATGAAATATGGTACATTTTACATAGCACAAAGACCAAGCCAGTAAGACTGCTGGACCTGCACTGACTCTGTGCTACATGCTCTGCACAGCGTTCTTGGCTTTGGTAGCATAGCCAGATAGACTGCTAAAACATTTCCACACAAAGTCTGTCCAGGTCCCTTTGGACTTACTAAAGAGTCACAGTTTGTACACCTAATTCCCATGGTGTTTTCCATCTGTCTTCACTGCCTAACTCTTCAGGCTTTATGAGAGAGTACTAATTAGCTCAGCAAAGATGCTGCAGATCTTGTATTGCACTCAAGAGTGCAACAATACTAGAATGTATTAGCTCAGATTAAAAACCTGAGCCAGTGTTGTGCATTCATCCGTGGCTCACTTGAAAATAAGTCCACTTTCCAGTCCACACCATTTGGGAGCACGTTGCAGAGAAGCATATGGAGGTGGCTCTACAAAAGCTCATCAAGTTCTGAGCAGGACCTCCCAGACCCAGCAGGGCAAACTTGCTGACTGCACTGGGGTGCCTATGCAACATGCTTCAGGACCTGTACTTTGAATGTTTCTTCACCATCTAGGTGAAGAACTGGCCTCAAGTAATGGCAAATTGGCTTGACAGGGACACAAGCACACAAGATACCCTTTATGAGACTCTCATAGGTCTCACAGTACACCTCTCAGACAAGTTCATTAAGCATAAGACTTATTCTCACATAAGAACAGTGTCTTTCCATACTTGAAAAAAACATCAAACAGAACTAAGTGACTCAATTCTCCTTACTATCTACATAATTACAGCAGAAAGCTGTGGGTTCTAATACACTTGAGAACAAATACAAGAGCAGGAACAAACATAAGAGCAGGAACCAGACATGATTCAAGAACAACGAGCCACTCTTAACTTACCAGAAAGGCTACAAACGGTGCAGTTTAAACCTGTGACACTTGAGCAGGAAGAGAACAGTCCTGCTTCCCAACTCCGGGCCAACACGTGGCAAGACTCAGGCCAAATCCATCATCCAAGCACCTTTCTCTGTACTAGGAGATTCAGGAAGAGAGGTACCAGAAAGCTCTTTGCTGAGTTTAACCCATCAGTTGAATTGAAACCAAGGGGTGAACCGGCTTTTCCTGTCTCCCAAGGAACAGGTATTTTGTATGCTCATGAAAAGTAACTGTTACTCATGAGGGCAGGGGCTAACACACTCAGTTACAACACACCTACGTAGCAGAAGCCAACGTAATTTTGCACCATTTAGAATTTTTGTTTTCATGCTTCAAGTTTATCAGGAAGAAAGTTTTTCAAATCAAGTGTGGACTTAGAATAACTGAAACAACTAAATCATATTGTTTTGGCATGAAGGATACAACAACGAATTTTGAACGTAAACTACAGAAAGCATTTTTTTTTTTAATTAAAAGAAAAATAAGCAGGGAAAAAAAGAGAGAGAGACGTGAAAAACAGAACACACTGTCCCAGCTTCCCATTAGAGGAAACAAGTGTGCCCCACAGTTGCAAGAACTAGACATGGAAAAATCCAGTCAGTACCTACCCAATTTCAAAGCATGAAAGACATCAGGTTGCCTCTTTTCTTTATCTGAAAAGATATAAATAGTTAGAACAACAAACACTACAAAACCAAAGTTTTCTAATAAAGCTTGTATAGTAAAAAATATAAACAAACTCTATATTTTGTAAGGCATTGTTTGGACATATGGAATCAGAAAGAAAGCACTCAGACTTTATATGACACCTTTGGGAGAAGTGGTTCACCTGAATGGCTTTCTGTACAGAATTATGGTTAAAATATATGTTAAAGATTTCTGTTTTTCAATGTCTATTTTGTATCTGGAAATGGTATTTGGAAACTTCTGGGTTTCAAGCCTGAAAGACTAAAATATCAGTTAAACAGATAAATTAAGGTTCTGTGGGATGGTGCAATCTTTTGCAGAGGTGTAAACATTGAGCAATAAAGGACTTGAAATAAAGGACTTTGAAAAGTGATTCAAAAAGAATTTCAAAAGATTTTTTTTTCTCAAGTACTGCCAGATTAATTTCTTAGATTCACAAAATACTGTTAATTTTACTACCCAAATTATTTGCTACTTGTGCGTCAACACAGATACTTTGGGAATGAAGAACTGGGAAATGAAGTAAGAAGTTAAACTATTATAAAGTTAAAATATTTTGAGTAAAGGATATTGCTTCCTACAGGCTTTTCTAAGTGCTTTGAGACTGCTGACACAATGTATGATGAGGAAAAAAAAATAGTTACTTATTTTACTCCTTCCTTTTCTGAGTAAAATTAGAAAAATACATCTTTCTCCATCTCCCAAAGTATCAATGACACCACAGAACCAATGGGAGAGAAAGGTTTTAAGAAAAACAGGAGATGTAGAGAGATCTCAGCCTAAATTTACCATTTTTATGATACATCTGAAAAAAAAAAAGTTATTGTTCATAGTTTGACCTTAAAGGAAGCCTGAAAAATGATGAGGTGCTGGAAGAAAGTGTTATACAGACTGTACAAACTGCAGCAAGAACAAGGACAGTGTGTAGCGAACAACAGAACTTTACCAGGCAATTCAGAGTTTTGTTTCTGAAAAAACCCCCACACGAAAGTCACTTTTGTTTTGGATGCAATGCTTCCTATCTATACCAACGGATCAGAAGTTTTTTCTGCTGACTTATATTTGAAATAACATTTTTCCCCCCCTTAGAACATATTCCAGTGTTCACAAAAGAATAAAGCTATGGTCAAACATCACAATGGAAATACCTGGCATTTTTTTGTTGTTGTTTTTGTTACCCCTCCCTGCTCCAATTAATCTACTCTTCTGCAGATGCTCTCTACCCTTCAGCAGAGGTGACAAAAACATCCTCATCAGAGCTGGAAAGGATGATTATGGAAGACTTTCTCTGCACTGTGACTAGCTCATGTTTATTATCAGGGACCAGTCACAGCCCAATGTCTACAGCTAACCAGTTCTGCCTGGTGGCTTGGCTATATGAGAGTCCAAGTTTCAACTCAGCCTATAAATCAATACACGACTAAGTTAAAATCTTCTCCGAAGCAGAAAGAAACATCAGATTTCTGTCCTTGTTTCTTGCAGCTCAATCTTCCTTTATACTTTAAGAATAACACCAAATTTAAAAAAATGTTACAAATTTTAAGCAAGAGAGGCATGGCTGTATTGGAATGTGGCTATGTCCATGCTGCAGAGCAATACAGAGATAATTACCTCATTTTTAAATAAGCCTATGTGGGCAAAGTAGCAGATGGCTGGGAGTGGACTAATTTTCTCTACAGACTTTCTGCCACCAGGGCTGAGTTGTAGTACCTGGAATCCTTAGGTTTTAAAGCAAGTACTACAATGAGTAAAAATCTAGATGCCAGCTTTTCCAAACCCTCTTCTTAGGCACCTCCCAACATCTGTCTACATTATAAAGCACAAATATCTTGAAAGCTATCCCCAAACATCCAAATGTAGAATAAGATCTCAAACTTCCAAATGACTTATTGATGCTCAAGTGTCCAAAGCAATGTTCAAACCAAACTGAATCACTTCAGAAGAAGATTTAACATCTTTCTGTAAGGTCCAAAATTTTGGAGAGGAGAAAAAGAAGCTAATCCATGATACTTGAAAAGCTCTGATACAAGACACTCATTTTTATTTTTATTTATTTACATATATATATATGTATATACACATATATATAAGGCTAAGTTAATTTGGAAAGGTAATCAGAGAAAGACACCACTCAATTTTTATTCATCTTTGCACATTTATCCACAAAGAATATTTAAGAAACTAAATGTCATTTCAAAATGACAGATAAGCAGATAACAGTATTTGTGATGTCTCTTTAATAAAAATTATATGCAGAAAACTAGCAGAGTATGAACTTGTTTATTAATTCAAGTACTCAAAAGATCATAAAAAAGTAAAAAAAAAATAGAAAATATACAATTCTGTACAGAATAAACATCTTTTAGTGTATATATTATTTTAGACTGTATTTAAAAAAAAAGTCAAAGTTGGCTTACATTTTCCTAAACTTTACCATCTACTAAAATATATCATCTCTATTTAAAGTGTATATAAAAAGTATTTCTCACATTATCATGGCTACAGCCACACTCCTGCTGCACATTCTTTAATCACACAGTAACAGATTGTTTCTTTACCTGGTCTCTCATCCCATTCCGTCAAGGAAGAGGCAGAATTAAAGCAACCACAAGAGCAGCATTTTATGCTGTTGACGTACATATGTACTACTATAAGTGAAACTTCACTTGAGATTTGCATTGAAGTAACGTATTGTTAATCTAGTTTTGCACACACCCAAGCACAGAATATGTGCGTCTGTAGGCATGCAAGCATGTATATGTGTTCGGGGGGAGAGGGAGCAGAAAAAATCTATGAAATCTTCAAATTAATTCACTGATCAGGTTTTACGGAGACATTTAACCTTGACTGGGACACTTCACCTGTTGGAGATCCTATACCTCTATTAACTCACTCAGGGTCTTAGTGCCACTGCAAAACATAATACTCATTCATTTTTTCCTAATTTTAATATTTACCACAATTTACTTTGGCTGACAGGTGAAGAAGCCCCTCATTACTGGTTTTTTTTTTTGTGATTATGTAGACACTTTGTTAGTCAGATTTCTTAATTATCTCATTATAAAACTACACAGACTGAGCAGGCTTTCAGATGTACAGATTTTATATCTTGTACATTTTCCATGAGTCTCTAGTTTTTGACATTCCTCATTCAGTGCTATGCCATTGGTCTTTTTCATTTTCTTCCTAAATAAGTATCTGTACCATGCATTTAAAAATAAAAAACAGACAGTAAAGAAAACCTTTAAAAATGTTTCAAACACTTTTCGCTGCAGAACAGGAATTCTGTCATGCTAATCTGGACTAAATCGGTGAGGTTGAGTATGCGTGCCCTACCCAAGACAGGTGTTTCTACACTAACATTTCCTGTATCAAAGTAGTCTAGTTACGTGTTTTAAAGAAAATAATGTTCATTTAGAAAAAAAAGAAGACTCCTTCAATTTGTAATCAAGACTTCAGGAAAGCACACAAAACAGCAAAATAAACTTACTGCTCCATACCTGCCTGGGGCCTGATCGTCGTTAGAGATTCCAGATAGTCCTTCATGTCTTTGTGTTTGAAACCAACAGAGATCTCAAAAGGCGTTTTATGTAGTACATTCAGGTGATCAGCATTGGCCCCTTTGTCCATGAGCTGCTGGGCCAGGCTCACCTTTCCACTAACAGCTGCCAGCATTAAAGGACTCCAGCCCATCGTCTTCACAGTGTAATTACAGTTAGCTCCCCAATCTAGCAACAGATGGACCACTGCCTCATGTCCATGCTGGGCTGCTGCCATTAGCGGGGTGATATCCGGCAGGTCTTCTCTGCTGCTGTTCAGTAAGCCCATCCTAAAATGGTCATAGTTGTCTACAAAGGCCCCAGACTCCAGCAGCAGCTTCACCATGCTGACGTGGCCACCCCTAGAGGCCATCGTGAGCACGCTGGCTCCCAGCTTGTTCTGTGCGTTGAGATCGGCGCCATTCTCCAGCAGGATGTGAGCCACGCTTATATGTCCAAACCTTGACAGGCAGAGGTAAGAAAAGCAAGATAATGAACTCCTGAGGCAGCAAAAGGAAGCTGATGCACACTTAACACGGAAAACCTGGTTACTAAACTGGTGTCTGTCAACTAATAGAAAGGACTGAAATGCTCCACGCGATCATTTATGCACCACTACATGTGACAGTGGCCACTTTCCCTGGAGAGGTGTGATCATCAGTTGAAACCTGTGCCTTCCTGATAGGTGACCATGCCCATAGTATATACACTGCCTTAAGGGGATGTCCCAGACAATGCAGCAATGCGCTAGCATCATTTTTAACTGCAGGAGCATATCAAAAGTATAACACCATAAATCCTTCATCCCCATTTCTAGGTCCCAGAGAGGAATCCAAGTCAGCTTGCTCGAATATGGTAATTCTGTGAGATCCTAAGCATTGTGACTACAACTGAATGACTGGAATAAAAACTTTGACCAATGCTGAAATATATATATATATATACACACATACACACACTACTTCATGAAATGGTTAGGTGGGCTTTCATATTAGTGTCATCCTTTCCTTTCCAGTAGGGAGGGAAAGGCAGGCCTCAATACCAACTGACTATTGGCGGATCTGGTAATTTGCCAGGAGGCTACAACCAGCGATGCACCTCACGTACCCATGACAACATGGAAATCCCTTCCCCCCCTCCTCAAATGGGGTGACATTCCACATCTTTTTTAAAACATAACACATACGTAAGACAGATTTTGTGCTTCTTGATGCAGATACCATGTATTACTATACATTTGTACAGTATTTAATACAATCAAGCTTTGATCCAGAAAGCAGCTTTTCTACACTCCAGTGAAACAAATGGAGGAATTGCTACATAAAGCTACTAACGGCTAACAGTATACGAAGACTATTTTCCTTATCTTTCTTCCAAAAAATACACAGTTGCAGAAAGAACATTCCAGGGACTATCTAGTCCTTAGGTCCGTCAACACAGTAGTTCCTCAGCTGCTTGGTACATGTTTGGTGTCATACACGTACACTGTTTAGCAGGATTAACACAGGCAGAAAATTAACATGTGCATAATTTCTGACCAGTGTTTGAAAGGACTGTATTTAACTCATTTCTTTAAAATATATAGAGGGTTATCGTGATTTAGGTTTACTGTTTTTTGAGAATGAGTGCAAAACTTTCATTAATGGCAAAAAAAAAAAAAAGTTTTTTTTAAGCCTTCAAGAGAATAACAAAATTGCTGAACCTTGTCTTCCTGTTCTTTCTGGAAAACTAGTTGTGTGACTCATTCTTTGGGAACTTTCTATGGGCTTTGATTAAATGGAGAATGTTGACTTTCAAACATTTTTTTTCTTCCAAGTATTTTAAACTTATGACATACAGATAAAAAAAAATCTCACTCAAGCATTCAATTCTTACAGGAAAACAGTGTTCTCCAAATTTGCAAAGCACACATAATAATCCACAGCATATTCATCTACGTAAAGATAACCACAAATGCAAGCATTAGCAATACTGGAATCTCTTGTAACTCAGTAGGGAGTAATACTAAAACAATTGTGATAGATGACAAAAAACAACCAGGTTTTTTTTTAAAGCTGTAAGAAACAAATTTCCATATACTCCCAAAGAGCCATTAAAGAAAATGAAGAAAAGTCAAGAGAAATGAAGCACTTCCATTTACTTCTTTATGTTTTAAATCAGAGATTTCTGAACAAGTAGATAAAAAAGTCATTGTATATATATATTATTTCCAACTAATGAGAAGAAAAAAAAAAGTTACCCTCAAAACCTCAGAAAAGAGTGATCCTTTGCCGGTTTTAGCTGTGAATTAACAAAATGCAACTACAGCTGTAACTACATCTTTAAATGCAACCCAACAACCCACGTGCCCCACCCAAAAGAAGTTAAGCCTCAGGTTTATATAAGTTTTATATATATATATATATATACACACACACACACACACATAATTTATATAAGTTTAC